ATATATATCATCACACTGTTAACAGCCTTACATCCTTCTGCCTTCCTAGGTACTCACACACACCTGATAGTTCAAATCTTCCCATTGTACCTTAAAGTGATTCTATATCTAGTTTATGATAGGGAAAATGGCCCAGTGAAGTTAGAAGCTCTAAGAAACTCAACATTAACAGAAAGGTCTCTTTCCAGTAAGTCACAATGCATTTATTTGGAAAAATAAATATGGATTTTTGAGAAGCTCTAGAGAAAATCACCTATTTCTGAAACTATAAAAAAGTAAAGGCTTCCTCCATGTTGCTGGTCTCTGGTCTTCTCAAGTAGTTAGCCCTGTGGTCACAGCACCATGGCTCTCCCCACCCCCCACCATGCAAGGTCAAAGCTCCATAATCAGCATCTTATCACCTGGAGACCCCTAAGCTCCCCCAGGGCCAGTTAGTTACTGGGCAGTTTTGTGGCTTATCCTCTGGGAAAATTTGTTCATAGCAAATTATTCTCCATTCACAAACTGTTTAAAATAGATCTGTTCATTGTGCATTCTAGACAGACTATACCTACTTCGGGGTATCTTTTTACCTATAATAATGCCTTGTTAAACAGTAATGATAAGTTAATAAACATCTAATGTAAATTAAATGTGTTCATATGGGATTTTTGAAACTGATTCCACTGCACTTTATTCTCAGATAAAAGGAAGGCTTTTTTCCCTTTTTTTTTTTTTTTCATTTGTGATAATACTTTAAGACTTATTTGGGTAATGAAAAGCATAGTGAACTTGTATCTCTTGAAAAGCAAAGGTATTCTCCTGCCTAAATATAACAACTGGTTATCTTCCTTTCTAACAAAGCAGCATTTTTCCCAAGACCCAGGTATGGACACTCGCTCTATTGTGTAAAGGTCTTATCCGGTTTGCTTTCCAGCCATGCGATGAAATCCAGCGCAACACCCTTTTCTATTGGCTCTAAAATGCAACAAAATTCAGTATGCTTTAGGAAGCAGGTAGAGGAGCGGATGTGGGCGTGCGATGTTTAGATGTGGTGTGCCCAGAGTTGTCCTCTGACCTCTGACCTGGAAGAAATCCACTGATACATACCCCATGCCCGAACCTATTGGCCATACTCTGAAACCTGGTTACCCACAGAACAATGCCTACTCCTAAAACTTCTACCTGTGATTTCACAAGTTACTCAGAGCCAGCTACAGTCAGTAGTTGGATGGAAGAATTCCAGAAAAAATACCTTAGGCTGCCATAGTCGTCGGGGTTTTCAGAGAGTAAGAAAGAAAGTAAGTGCCCCAGAGTAATGTAGGCAAAAGATATCCTGTTTTAACGAAGCCTCATAAGGGCCTTAAAAGAGAAATTTTTTTCCATATTGCATAACCATCGTGAGATATTTTCACAAGCAACTATAAAAAAATATCAGCATAGCTCACTTAATAAAAATTAAAGCAAAAATATTTGTGACGTTTCTAGTGTATGAGCAAAGTATTATGCTGGACATTTAGCTCGATGCATTTACAAGGAGAAGGTATCTATTGAATGCATGCACGATCAGGGCAGTCCCAGAATTAGCAGTTGACAATCACGGAAATCAAAGTTAAAGAGGCTTTGAGTTATTCAAATGGGAATACTTCTGGCAGGTTTGAGTGACCTGAAGCTTTCTATAAACCACTGTGGAGAACACTGTGCTATCACAGTATTAATTACATTCCAATCCATTCATTCTTTCCTGCTGGCAGCACTGGTACAGTCTGTGAAAGGTAAATCCAGAGATGATAGAATGCAATTTGGCCCACAATCGGTAACTAAATATGAAAATTGGAGTAAATCTAAATATTGGAAGGAAACTGGGCTAGTGGGTGAGCTGCTGGGTTGGATAGTATTGGAATCATTTGGCAGATGATGCTAATCAGTCACCATTTTGTTTTGAAATGGAAACCTAGTAATCAAATAAGTTTAGTAAAATTCCTTGTGTTTATAGCGATCTAGTCAAAAATGATTCTATATTTGCCTATTTAAGCATCCTAGTGGAAGTCATGTTTTGCCTTTCTAATTAAATATTTGCTTACTTGTGTGTGATAAAATATTGCTGAGTAAAGCATAAAAGCATCCTTCTCATTTTTATGGGAACTAGAGTTCCGGATTTTCTTCATTTGAGCTTCCAAATGGCTGGGAAAATAGAGTTGTTATATATCTCAATACTATGTAATGGTCCTTGGCTTCCTCACCTGCAAAATAAGGAGACCATACCTGGTGTCTAGCTTGCAGGGCTGTTGAGACATGCTTCTGCAATACCAGGCAGAATGTGAGACTTCAGACTAGGTGGCCCAGAAGTGTGTTTGAACTCTGGCACCACCACTTACTCTGTAATCTTGACCAAATCACCCTAGTATCCTTTGCAATCAAAAGGGGTAGTGATGACACACTTAATGAGCGGATTAAATGTAAAGGGCCAAGCAGCTGTGACAGTGGCTGGGTGGTTGAGCATTTACTGAGCGCCAGGTATCTGGTAACATACATGAAATTGCTGTCCAGGCTGTAAAACATGTGAGGTGGGGACCAGCCTACTTTTCTGTTCTAGCCTTTGCACCCTGTGGCTTTGCTTCTACAGCCCACTGACACATGCAGCAGAGCGTTCTTACCTAGGAGCTTCCGAAGGGTAACAAAGAAGCCAATTTAAGGATCCAAAGATAGAGGCCCCAGGATGAAGAACTATCCCAGAAAGAAACTTTCTAGTCTGGGGATGGATTTGATTGGACCTCAGAAGAAGCTGACTTGTGATTTTGCCTCCTGGATTTGCCTCTGGTAGACTTGATCACAAGGGTTCTCACCTCCGGGGAAAGGAAAGAAGGAATGAGAAGGAAGAATCTGTTGATGTTCCTTCCTCTCCACATCCTTCCTCACCCTAAGATCAGCTTCTACCTTTTTATCATCATTGATTTAAACTAACAAAGAAATTACCTGTTATTTTATTATTCTATTTGTATTATTATCAAAGCAATTGCCATTATTGCTAACAATTAATGTATAGTGAAATCTTATAAAGGAATAAGTTTCTAGACTAATTTATCATTACAACAATCCTATGAGGAAGAATCTACTTATTTTTCCCAAAATAGCAATATAAGCTTATATCAGAAGATAAAATTTTTATCCAAACTAGGAGGTAGTTACTGCTGAGACTTAAAACTGAAGCTGACTCTCACCAGTATTTCTCACTTCTCAGAACTTCTCCTTTTTTTTAAGA